TTTTTTCCTGCGTGTACAAAAGTGCACTAGAACTAAAAGACTCCGGTTTAAAATATTCCGGTATTCCTTCGCTGCTCAAATATATAAGCATGTAAAATACGTCCAGAAAGTCATACAAAATGCCGAAAGTAGCGAAAGTTTAATAATCAGTTGCAGACCGGCACTACCGCATGCACGAACCCTTTGAATTAATAATTAACCACCTTAAGCGAATTTGTAACTTAACATGAATATGAAATTTAATTATTGTTTGTCTATAAATATCATTTTTTAAACTAGCATCTGGTTCTAAAAACGTTCAAGATAGCTATAAATAAACAAATTAATATAAATAAGAACGTCAGGTGAAATCATAACAGTATAATTTTCCTCATTTTGAAAGAACTTTTCTTTTGTCAAATTTCTTTATAGATATTTCAGGTACTGGATTACAGTTGCTTTCCTAACTTTTTTCAAATTCCGAAAAAAATATCCAAGAGTTTCGGTGTTTCCGAGCTTTGCTCCATAAAAATAGATCATGGTTGACATGTACAAAAGTATTTTGTCACGTGTTTTCATGTACGCGATAACCCAAATGTATTTTGGTTACCGTTCCAAATCTTCGATACGATAAAACGAAATAGGCTTAATCTTCTTTGTTGCGTTTTGTGACAAAAACCTTCAGACGTTGGCAAAATGCATTTGTTTAAAACTGGTTTTTTTTGTTTCTGAAAAAAGTTGATTCCTTAAACTTGGCTTTACTCGATTTTCATCAAATTAATACTAGATTTCCCGGTTCTGGTAGAAATATATACTCAACTTACCTTGCTTTTATTGTGGTGTGCTCACAGTACAACTCATATGAATAAAGTGTTTGGTTCTGGTTTATTAAGTAATCTGTAAAGTTTGTTTGATATCAGGCAACTCCCGATTTTTCCAAAAATTCTGCCTATTATCCTTAAATATACTGAACTAAACAGGCAGTTTTCCTTAATAAAAGGCTTTCTCATGATGAAATTCATTCATTAAATCAAAACAACAGGAGATAATATATATCGCAAACTACCAAGTTCAAATTTAATCATAACTTTGCATGAATTATCCTACCTACTTTGTGTACCTTTTCCTATTCATACGGTCTCTTCCAGATCTTAGTTTATTGACGCAAATAACTTTGCAGAAGCCTTTAATTGTTTCTTTTTTCTCACTCCTTCAGGTTCCAAATCAAATTTTGGAGGCCAGTGCCGGCTTCTCTCATGAAATCTCCTTGAACGAGACTTCTCGGCAAACGGTAGAGGAAGAGCTCAATTGGGGCGTAGATACCCGCATAGTTGTTCCACCGCACAGCACTGCTGAGGCTGATGTAAGTTAAATTCCTGAATGCGTTGATCTGACAGTGATGTCTTATGTATCGATGTTTCCGGAGTTTTGCCTCAAAGTAGCTTTCTTGTAGTCAACAATTCCTATATCATTGAAATTCTCTGTAGTTCAACCGCTTTTATTTTGCTCGGAGTCTGCGCACTAGCTGGCATTTCGTGGATACTTGCAATATTCCCTGTATACACTTCTTCCGTCGCCGTAGGCAGCCCGCTTAGCCAGTCTGGTTTTGGACAATAGGGTTTTTGACCAAGGCTGAGACTGTTAATATTCCGACCAGTTTCCGGCTTCCAGTTGCCTACCGCTGTAGATGGATGATTATAATCCTACTTGAGCTACTGATAGTGGTTGGTTACGAATACTTAGAAATTAATTAAATTAAGTTGTGGTTGGCAACTTAAAGGCCTTCCCTACTATGTGGGTTCAAATCTCGCCGAATACTGCGAGTTTTTTTTATATTGGGTCAACTAAATTAAGCAAATCTGCCAAACCTCCAAAATAACTAAGTCAGCCTAGTAGCCATTCTGGTTGATTCTAGATGATTGCTTAGGGAGTCCTGCTTGGGCAGTCATTTCGCCTTTTTGTATTGGTGGATTCCTTACGAACGGTAAAGTTGGGCGGGTAAAATCGATCAAAGTGTGATTAAACTCACGGTGCTAGGCGTGGCATTTGTAGCTCAACTGGTAGAATATTGGTTTCGCGTAAGGGCCTTGCCTACTACGCGGGTTCAAATCCCGCCGACTGCCGTGATTTTTTTCATAATTGGGTCAGCTAAATTAAGCAAATCTGCCAAACTTCTTAAATAAAACATTAAGCTGGTTGGACGTGGAAACAAGCACTCCCCATATTACATGTGGCCTTGCGCTAAACTCTGAGGATTTACTTTTTCTTCTGTCCTATATTTAACTCTTATTTCCCTGGAAGTCTCTCGTCCTACCAATAATTCTAGTATATAAGTCAATATGGCAAAGCACCTGGAGGAATCTGATAGATTACGTACTGCTCGGTCATATCTCTAGGCGACTGAGCCTCGTCGGTGAGGATTATGATTCGTACGGATGTGTAGCTATCACTGCTGCCGGGAAGGCCCGACGAGCTGATGCCCTTCACTTCGCACAGACAGAAATGTGAGAACTTGTAGAAATGTTAACAATACTAGGGGCCTCGATAGTTAAATTTAGTAGAGTGTTCGCAATACTCAAAGCTTCCCGTGCTGATGTGGATTCGAATTCCACCTGAACCGTCGAATTGTTCACAATTGGGTCAATTTAATATCTAAAGTCTGCCAAGCCCTTTCGATTCCAGGAAGACCGAAAATGAGACAGCGAGAATCTTGGTGTGCGCTTGGTTTGGCCGTGATGCGCATGCAAACAGACGACCTGGGACTCTACAGTATGGCCTAAAATTTGTCTAACATGCCAATATATGCAAAAAATCGATACTCTCTCGCTAATCGGCATTTGGTGAAGTTGTAATACTGATTATCGTGTAGTCTATTCTGAAGTCCTTTCAGTCACTATAGGATGCGGCTTTTTAACGAACTTCTTTCTGACCGCTTACAAAACGCATGTACTGTAAAAAGTGGCTGCTTAAGCACTACATATGTATTTTATCATTGATTTTGACTGCCTTTGTAAATTCAAATATATTTTATGGAAA